ACGATGCCGCACACAACAAAGTTATATGGAGGAATTGACTTCAAGCTTTATTTTTTCCCAAATATTTGTAATTTATCCGACACATACTTGGGTTTCTTTTGTTTAATGCGAAGACAATATCTCTATATTTCTTTATGTGCTCCATTGAACGACTAGCTATCAGAATGTACTCACTAACTGATGTCAGAGAGGAGAGCAACCATGTAATTTCACTATAAATCAAATTCATGTAATTTAAATAATACTTATCCATGCCTGTACAACTGGTGTGTCCTACATTAATAGGAATATATATATATTATTATTAGACTATGCGTCAGACTGTGAAGAACGAGAATACAGAAATCCGCTAGACCTAAAGGAAGAATCAAGAAGGTCTTGATTTAGTGGACGACTTGTGTCTAATGTCACACGAAAGCGAAGACTTAAGGGGAAAAACAACAAACTGGCAAAAGAAGAAGCAAAGACAGGATTTCCAGTGAACACAGGGAACGAGATGACTCAGACAACCAACAACAATTACCAATCACTACGAAAGAGAAATTTGAAAGTCTTTTCCTCTGCCTACCTAGCCATTACTGATACAAATACAAGCAACATAAACAATGATGTCATAAATTTACGTAATTTCAGTAGTACTTATCAATACATATGAGTAACACAACCAGGGGCTGGAAGCCTCCTGGAGCTTAATTAATCTGAAACAAGTAGAAAATATTTTGTAATTAGCTAAGGAGACAAGATTAAGACTTTCAACCTTCATGTCAAGTCAGTCCTTCTATATTGTAGAGAGACTTGGCACCCCACGAGAAGAATTTCCTGCAGGCTGCTGCAGAATATAATCAGTTACCGCCTCCACCCCCATAATGAAGGTAAGGAAACCACAAAAAGGACTAGCAACGAGGACCTCTAGAAACTAATGGACCAATAAATATGCCAAAGAAAATGGAGATGCACTGGACACAGCCTGAGGAGACCGTTAAACAACACCGCGCACCAGGACCTTTAGCGGAACACCAATGTGGAAGGACGAGTTAGATGCTGGCTTTTGAGTGACACGGGAAAGGGTGCATGAGGAAGATGAGAAATGGTAGTCGTGTAGCTCTCCAAATAGACTACAGAGAAAAGAATGAAACGTGGGTGTGCTGTTTAAGCCCTGTGTACCATTCGGAAACTTAAGGAATAATGTTAATAATAGGGGGTTTGCGCAACAGAACATCAGGATAACTACTTCCCCTACAGTATCCTGGTGCGTCATGAAGACTATTACAATAATCCTCTCCCGGACATAACGTCAACGTCAAAATGCCGATGACTGCCAAAAACAAGAGATAATTTAGCTCACTTTACATATTCAAGTGGACCAACTGAGTAGTTTGGGCTCACGGTCTCACTGAATGGAATAATGTGCCTTAGTCAGGTGTAATGCTAACTTAATTTGATGCATGTTTAAGTGTTGACAGATAATATTAGTCAAAATTTGAAGGATGAAGACTATTTTAGCGTTACTACAGCTAAAGTATCACAGTTAACTTGGTTGGTTCTCAAGGTGTGAAGGTGTTTTAGTGCATAAATGTGAAAGAATGTGGTAACTGGTGACCACATGCACCGATTTCTCAACGTATTTCGTAGTTCTTTTGGGCCATGGTACAGCGTAAGACATAAGCTAACTGAGTATTGCATTTCGATGTTTGATTGGCTGTTCGGCAGCTGCTCACGTGTTCAGGACTTCTGAATACGACATCGAACATAATATACGGCTCCTCATAACTGGACATGCCCTTCGGACAGATGACAGATTGCCTACTTTTACTTTCCATATGAATCTCTGAGAACCTGGTTTTCAGATGTGTGGCTTAAAATAGCTCATGGCAATTGCAATTATGAGCATATAGTTATAGCTACCGAATTCTAGATTTCAACCCGAAATAGAGAGCAGTGACCACCTATCAACCATATTCCATTTTCTATTTGCACTTTTCTATTCCCTTCTTGGGAGACTCATCGAAACATGAAAGTGTCACCAGTTCTTCAGGTGATCACTTCTAAGGCTTTATGGCTCACATTTATAGAGTTCAGTCGGATAATACACGAGACGATAAATGACACCCATAGGTTTTTCTTAAAATACTGTGCGCTGTGATTAGGACACCTTCCTGCTCACAGAATGATAAGAGGAGGAGATTCGATGTTTAAAATAATTTCTCGAGTAATTAACCTATCAAGACAAAAATTACACGTGTAGCTCCATTTCGTATTCTTCATACAATATGTGAGCCACAAACTTAGAGGAGGGTAGCACCTTGGATACAATCAGTGAAAATGTGGTTGTTGATCCAAATAAACAGCCTTCGTACAAACAACTAGATTCGATGTTGAGTACTGCAAACGATCAAAAGCACACCATTATTTCGATTTCACGACCTTCCATAACGCCTGGAGCACTATGCGCCTGAATAATAAAAGGAATTCTTCTCAAGTGCCTTATGCACTGACATTCATGATCCAGATTGTGATGGGTGCTAATTACGCTACACTGATGGAAAACATCTGTCTATAGACGAAACTAACCTAGCTCAGTTTACTAGCTCACTAGATTTCTAGCCGGCCTCAAGCCTGCGATTAGAGGGGATTGGGCGTAGGGCTAGCAACCCTACACCAAAACACCATTCAAACTGCTACAGAAACTTCAGCGGGCAAGAAAAATATTGAAAAATATAAGCAATCTGGAAAATAACTTATTCTTTGCTCGAATCAAGGGGGGGGGCGGTATGAAGCGGCGGGCTAATGGAAGACTTCGGGAAGCCAATCCGCCAGCCAGTGTGCCTTCTCTCTCTCCACCTGGGAGGTGGAATGTACATACAATGTACGAGGCTGGCTGAGAGGATTTGCTAATAGTGTGCTCGAAATCTGCAATACCAAGTGGAATGGATGTGAACCGCCAAAATTGTCAGCCAGTGAGTCGGTAATCTATTCCAGTCTGTTCACCCAGACGACAACCATGAGCACACTGGGGCAGTGAGTGGCTATAATGATGTCACCAGTGGCAGCCAAATGCATAATGCAATGGGAACCAGTTTCACCCCTTAGGATCACGACAACAAGACTCAACTCAGTGGGGGAAGGAAGGTCACAATTATCCAATGCAACACACAGTGCTCGAAACGATGCGGAAGAAGAGAAGAAGGAAGATTTTTTACAAAGAAATGAAAACAGTAGCGGACCAAATCACAAATAGCGACATCAAAATCCTAATTGACGATATGAACTGCAGCTGAACTGGTAACAGATAATACAGGAAGTGAACCCATCACGGGTCAAGAGGCTCTCGCTAGGCGAAGTGGATGAGGACGGTGAACTATTTGCAGACTTCTGCGTTTTCAGTGATTTGGTGATCGGAGGCAGCGTGTACAAGCACAAGGATACACGCAAAGCGACATGTATTTCACCCGAGGGACGAACCACGAGCTAGATGGATTTCATCTCAATGCTGATGAAGAAAGTGGAGAGGCGGCCATTCTGGTTGGCACAAAGCCAAGAAGGCAAGAAGATGTGCACTAACACCATCATCTAGTTCAAGGAACTTTCAAGGTGAAGCTAAACATCCTCAAAACAACCGGTGACAGACCACTGCAATTCAGATTCAACAAATAAAAACTGAAGGACAAAACTAGGAGGGATACCCTCACTACAGGTCAGAACAAAGTCGGGGACACTGCGTGTTATCACCGAGGAAACCTGTGTAGAAGAACACTTGAGCTCTCTGAAAGCGATATTCAAGGAAACGTGTACAAATGTTCTGAGAAGAAAGAAGAGACAAGACAAGGAATAGCTATCAGCCAATAGAAGAGAGGAGGGTGGTGAGAATTGCAATCAAACCTCTACATCAACTTCATCGACTTCTAAAGGGACTTCACTAGACAGCGTTGACGGAGAAGTAATTTCGAAACTTCTTCAACACTACCGTGATCAGCACCCCAAATATTTATCAACCTCACTCAACATTTGGGTACATGACAATGCCACATGTCAGGCAACCAACTACGGGAAACTCAACGAGGCGTTTGAGGTAAAATATAGTAGTAAGACAAGCTGCCTGGCTAATATCACCAACGACGATATTCATAATTGTGGTAGAATGGATTATCCATCAAACTGTGGACAGGGAGTGAGGAAACAGGAATGCGCTGGACTAACCGATTAGAAGACTCTAGAAGATCTGGATTTCGCATGTGGATGATTCATGTTTGATGTCACCGAAACTTGCAAACTCGCTGGTGGAAACCAACAAACTACCAGAAGGTAAGAGAAGAAAATACAGGACTCCAAGTGAACAGAAATAAGACGGAGGTGATGAACTTAAGCAACAGCAGCAACAACAACCACCAGCACCAGTCACCATTAGTGGGAGACATTTGACAGAGTTCACTTCTGCCACTTGTCTAGGAAGCACTGTTTCAACAACAGGCGGGATGGATGAAGAATATGAAAGCCAGCAAGAATCAGAAAGGCGACATACGCCTTCATCACTCCGAAATCAGTTTGGCGATCTTCCACACTCAACCATAATACAGAACAAGATTCGGATTTTCAACACAAATGTTAAGTTAGTCAGTTCTTCTATTCGGGTCAGAAAATTGGCCAGCGTGTCTCGAAAAGGATTTCCAACAAGTTATACCCCTTATATCAACAGCTGCCCGCTTCGCTGGGTCCATATTCAAGATGAAATGGCAGGCCAGAAAGAATTAGCAACAAGAAATTTTCGGTACAAACCACCAGGCAAGAGCCTATTTCTCAACAAATATGTAGGAGAAAACAGATAATGGAGATGTGTGGTTGAAGCACTATGTTCCACCTGGAACCCAAGGGAATAATAATATATTATAATAATGGATGAATTTAACATTTTTGGAATAATTTCGTGAAGTGAATATCACTTAAATCGATTGTCAGATTACTGGAGCTGTTGTTATAATTTTTAATAAGAGCACTTTGTGTATGCTAAAGCTGACCTTCAAATATTGCCTCATTTCAGCGTCAAAATGTTCTTCAAATTTGTTTCCGTGTTGTTTCTTTTGCTGGAAGTATCTGCAGAACAATCATCTAGGGCACTTATACTAGCAGCAAATGATGGGAATACGACATTTTTTCACTACGTTTCAGGTAAGCATTTAAAAGTCATTGTGTCGTTTCTAAATTTTGCAACAGATGGACGGGTACTTCATAATCCACATATAATTGCGGTGGCCGCTTTTGATGACAAAGTTAACACAACCGGGTAAATCCAAATTTATTATTATGTAAAATGTGAAGATGGTCATCACTCACAGTATCAACATCTTCGGAGTTCCCTGACTTCCTTCAGGCATATTGGGCTGGCTTTTTGGAAACAAATCTCACTCTCAGTTTAACTGATGCTATGTGGATAAATACTGTCAGAGGTAGGTTTAAATAAGTTCCAGCTATATTTTGATACAAAGGTTCGGAAACTACTATCATGTCCCCTTAGAACTTGATTATCACCCTTACTTTGTCTTTGGCATATCCTACTTATTACTTGGGAGAGGCGGTAGTCATGAAGCCTGCATGCCTCAAATATTTGTTATAATTCTACGGGTCGTGGTGGATTCTATTTTAAACTTTAGATGTTTTTTCACTTATGTGCAATGCTATACTATTAACATCTTTCAATTAGTGATTTTGTAAGACAATCGTGATATAGAGAACCTGCTATTAGGTAGAGATATAATAGATTGATTTCTTACTGCTTCTATGTTCCCATATATATTCTATTCAAATTAACTAAACTCAAATGCTGTAAATTAAATGTTATTCCATCAACTCTTAACATTGTGCAACAATCTTCATTGAAATATTTAAATATGGCTGGTAGTGTCTTAACAATTTCCTTCAAAATCTTTTTTATATCAACGCAATTTATCTAATTGAGTAAGATCGACTTAAATTTTTTTGATATTGGGTTGACTGTTAGTGAAAATAAGTACCTGTTTTCTATTTTCATATTGACGTATCAACTAACATTTCACCGAGTCTAACAAGATTAAGCAAGTAGTAATATATTGTTAATAGAGTATTATGAACCTGAAGTCCAGAAAGCGCCTACATATATTTACGTACGCAAATGCATTTTATCAATTAACGTGGTCCTTGTTTGTGAATTTAGTCTTGAAAAGAACTCAAAGGTAAATTTTTGCATTTCAAGAAAGCTTTTTCATACACTGAACTGAAAATGTAATAAGTTTGGCCTGTTATTTGTAAAGTGAATGCAGGGCAGTACATCCTGAATATTGCAAGTAGGTTTCCAACCGTAACACTTTTTGTGTCATCAACTCACCAGTGACTTGAGTAATATGGTTTGACAATATACTCACCCGTTTTACCATTTTTTTCGTATTTACTGCGTCTATATGAATATTTGTAAATACAATTTTGAGGAGTTAAGCATTCACATATGTATTCACTTGAGTACAATTCACCCCCATGTGGAAATGCGACTATTTTCATTTTCAAATTTAATTATCCTTAAAGACCTCACGTGCAAACTCTTGGATTTTATTGGACCAACAGTATGAACCATGCATCAGTCGAAAGGAAATCTACTCATCTAGATGTTTCGGAAAAAGTGGTGCATTATTTTTTTAAAGAGTATCATTGCTACATTTTCGTTTAATCGAATTGAACATTTCATCAGGGAATTACACTAAATTAGACTCATTTTCACTGCATGTGAAGAGAATTGGTTTTAAATCCCTGGAAATGCATATGTTATTAAACATTTCGAGTTACCGTTGACCAATTGTTCTTTTGAAATTTTAGATATGTGTTCAACACCACTATCAGAAAGCTGTAAGAAGTTGCAGAAATACCTAACAGAAAATATGGTTTATATGCTAGAAGAGGCTTATAAAAACAGCAACCATGATCCTTACTGGTACCAAGTAAGGAGAAATAATTTTTATTTTCCATATTTAAATTGACAACGTTATTTTTCCAACAGTGGCGTTTGAGGGACCACAGCATTCACTCTAGGTTAACATCGCACAGCTATCTCCTTTCCAGTATTATTTGCATGTGCCAGGGAAATATTCGTAATTTCTAAAACTATTCTCTGATTTATTTTTATAGAAAGCTGAGAAACAGAATCATTTGTAATGCCATCTCACAAAAATTTCACTAGCATATATGTATTTGCACATAGTATAAACAATGGTCTCCTCCTGATTTCAGTTAAGTAGTAAACATCGTTTTTTGGATTAGCACTTCTTACCAATTTAAAAGCATGTATAATGACGTGATAACAGCCCTCACATCTGTGCAATTCACTTATGGTCTACCTACTGAGATAAAAACAACTAGGTAGTTCCACCGATTTACGCAAAACAGATGTTTCATAAATTAACATATACATACATATATGGCTATTGAATGAAATTTGTTTGCAAAAATCATTAGGCAGACAATGAGAACGGAGAGTAATAAGGTGATCATGCATCAACTAATTGATCCAGTTAAAACAACTTAGACTGTTTGATAGGGTAGTTATCCTTCCACAGTATCATACAATAACATTCTAAAAAATCTGTAGGAGGTTATTTTGTAATGTGCGTCGGTGGCACAGCGGTTGGGACTCTCGCCGACCATGCACATGGTCCGAGGTTCGATCCCTCGCCGACGCACACTTGATATCCATGGTCGGCCTGCAAAATTTGGGCTACCGATATCACATGCTGAAAATTTCATACTTGCACCAAAATAATGTGTGGAATCAAGCTATAATAAAATAAAAATTTGTATAGCAGTCTTATGATGCACGTCATTTCTAGTGAACAGATATAAAAAGCTCAATGTCCACATACAGACTTGTAAAATATCTGTGTTTTTTTCTAAATTTCCAGCTAAGTATGTCATACTACGTTCCTAAATTGGTAATGCAGTTAAGTAAATAATTATTTGTAATGACATTGAAATGTTCACCTTATAATTATGTATTCCTTAAGTTTGATTTGTGGAAAATCGACTTGTGAATAGTGTGTATGGGACAAAAAAATCTTTCAAATTTGAAAATCAGTAATAATTTCACTGTTGTTACACTCAATTCCGGCTTTATTTGAGTTGCGAACATTTTACTACTCAACTAAGAAAACGAGCGTTAAATGGTTGCACGCTTTAAGATTAATTCTTATTAGCCTTTACAGTTATATCTACGGGTTATTATACAGTAACAGTTTGATCTTTATTGGCAAATTGCAATTAAATTCAATTTCTCAATAAACATAATTGTATTATAAGCCCCACAGTGTGATATAATTAAGAATTAAATAAACAGAATTTGAAAACAAATATAATGAAAGAAAACATGGACGTCATGTAAAAATAGACTTCGAATCATAAGATGTTTGAAGGTACATTAACTGAAGTGTGAGTAATGCAGCTGTAGAATCTAAAGAGTATTGCGCGATCAGTTTATTTACTGAGCGTTTCACGCAATGAAACAGTATTTTTCATAGGGCAAAATATGTATTAGATAGCGTACAGTAAAGATACGATGAAGAACGGTTAGTTCAAATGCAAACAGCTTTCCTATTAATGAGCCAGTCAACATGATTTGGAATTAATTGTAAGTGAGACTTATATTTCGGCAGTAATTTTGGGTCGTTTAGATAGAAATCGTTATCTATGGAGGCCATGACAGATATGCAGTCATATGTAGCGTGAATGTTCTTCAAAAATTAAAGGTAAATATATGAACAAATAAATAGAGTAGTCATTTGCTAGTTAATAACTATAGTAGTGCAGATATATTCATGGATTGAATGTTAGGAGTGATTTTGTATCAGACGTTTACGCCTCGTTATCAGCTTTTTGGATTGGCAGTACTCTGATTGTGAAGCTTTATCCAAACTGATTAATGCATGAAGACCTTGAAACCTTCATACTTGAAAAGGAAAAAAGGCTGCTCGAAAGTAAGCCGACTAAAGTTTTTCGCAACGACAGGAAACAATATTGGAGGACAAGAGAGAAAGAAATAGAGAAGCTGACACTCACCGCTTATTAAGGCTGGTTAGAAAGACATGAGTTTAAAAACTTATGATCCCCAAGAGGAACATACCTTTGAAATATTCTCAGGAGAGATGGATGGATTATCTGATAGTACACTTTCAGGAACCATCTGTCAGCCATACGGCCGCGATACGTTTACCCAGTATCTATCCCGTGCTTGAATAAGACATAAAAATCAGTTCTCCGAATGTATCTGAGGTTGAAATCAATTTTTGTACAAAACAAGGCAAAACCGCAAGATGGGATGGCATGTCTCCAGAACTATTTTGGGATAATTATGAGTTACTGACCAAGTAAACTATGGTGTGCTTTATTATTTATAATTCATTGATAGTTCCATTGGACTGGTGCCGACTGCCAATCAGTCCAGTTCACAAAAAGTAAAAGAAACCTTTCTGTGATAATCATAGGTGAATCCCTCTTATTAACGCGGTATCTGTGAAGACCAAGTAGGTCGGGTAACAAACAAACCCAAGAAAGCAAAGCAGGGATCAGCCCCGAATAAGGATGTATTGGCCATATATTTTCTTTTTGATAGCCTTTAGAACATATAATGCAGGTTTTCAGTGAAATACAAAATAACTACAGAGGGAAGATGAGAGTCTGTGGTGGTTATAACTTAAATTAGCACTAGACAGTTGTTGAAAATATTTCATTAGTTGTGAGTTTAATGTGAAAAGGAATAACATTCAAACGGTAAATGCAAACTTCTATCTGTATCAATGTAATGCACTCTGATGTTACGTTAACCCTTGCAAGACTAATAAGAGGGTGGACTTTTTTAAGCTTATAAAACTCGCTAATTCTTAACAACAAAATATTTCAAGATCCTTTGTATTTGATCAGATTGGTATTTTATAAATTTCAAAATTCTCCTCTATGCTTAATACTGTGGATAGGCATAAGGATAAAACTTGGGCACTGTGGTAGAGTATAATTCCATTAGGCATAAGATTTTATTTTGATGAAATCACACAGTATTATATTGTAATATTTACTGATGACGTTTCGAGCACCAACCATTACTCATAATCATATCAAACATTACTAACACAACTTTCTTGCTTCATTTATATACATGAGTAAAATTGATGATTAGACAGGTGAAGAAAATCAGTATAAGATAAAGTACATTCGGAAATAATATTAATATTATCAATAAAATACAATCAGATGGGAAATAAGATGTTTTTATAGTAAAGTAAATAAATAACTTGTTAGAATGTTATAATGTGAATTGAATACATTTTAACATTATTTATCGTCTTCTGATTTGACTCGCAATAATATCTTCCATATCTCTGGTATCTGCGTTGAGTTACTTCTGTTGCATGTGTTGGGTGTAGACTGGATGAACAAGGATTCAGTAATCAATCTCTCTCTCTCCACCTACCTATATTACTCTTTGGAATTTTGACTCTGTCCCACCCACACTGTTGTGTGGTTGTTTGTTAGTGCACGTAGTGCGATTGCTGAGTGTTTCTATGCATTACATATCTTCGTGGGATCAGTTATTCTAACCTTAGCTAAATTCTTATGTTCTGATAATCTCACTACTCCCGATCTACTAGTTTGACCTGTGTAGTTAGTTCAAAGTGGTAGTTAGATGTTATTTTCTGAACTAACAGATAGATTTATCTGACTAAAATCCTTTTTTTGCTCGATCATCTAGCTGATATCATCAAGCAGTAATTATGGCCATTATCTGTTGATAAAGCGTGGAATTAATGTACTTTTAAAGTATTACTATGGAATTAGTAGTCATTGTTTTTTTCATCATAACTATATAATATGTTAAGATCCTGCAGCTAAAATTTCAGAAATTACGTAAATGTTTTCAAATATTCCAAAGATGAAACGGAATGGAATGAATGCATAGCATATTTTTCTTATTTGTCTGATGATAAGTAAAAAGTTTAGACAAGGTAAAAACTAAAATGGATTGTTGGCAATTTTTCTTATTTAGCCTATGTCAATCATAGTATAACAACCATATCTAATCTTCCATATTTTCGTGAAGTTAATATTTTATTTTCCTTAGAGCATATCAATTACAACAAGCTTAATAATAAGAGGACTCAGTTTATTTCACGAATTCTGACAGAAAGCATCACACATTAATAAAGCATGTGATGAATGTCTTAATTTATCGATTTACTGATTGGATATGAAGAAATTTTTTTCTTTTATGAAAGATATTTGACTTTTAATATGCCGATTATAAGATGAAATCTTTATTATTTTTTTATTAGACCCCAGTTAAAAATTACTACATTGACACACATGCTGTGTCATAGACAAAGTACGGAGTGTATGTAGAGTAAATACACAGTCACTAGTTATCGCGGGATCTACCATTTGAAAAGTGCTGATGGTTTATGACTTTCTTTTCTTAGAATATTTAATTTAACTCACAGGCTGAAAGCTCTACAAGAATATAAATCCCTCTGATCTTATGGACAGCCCTTGCTGACGAGTATTAACAGTCATGAGATTTAAAAGAATAAGGTCTTCTTAGTGATTATTTGTAAATACCTAAAATCAATTAAAATTACACCACCTTTATAGATCTTCTAGCTTAATGACTGGTTATACTGCTAACGTGGTAACTAGAACTCTGCTACACCTTGAAATCGGAACGTAGGGAAACTAGTGATTTCTCTGTTGATCGAATGATTCAATTTATGATGACCCTTATGTATTGAATGTATTATATACACCTTGAATTCGTTTTATTTATGCTCTAATTAAGTACGTGCTAATTAAAACAAACAAGTATAGATTTAGTAAAAAACTGAATTCTACTCTTGTAATTCCTAGTGCCGGTTACATCTGATTCTTGGTTGTCATTAACTTCACAATGTTGTAAAGTTTTGTTAATTTACTAGTAAGAAGCAACTAATGCTCAGTTTACATCGGCGGTTCAATGGTAGAATGCTTGCCAACCAAATACTTGATCTGACCAGGTTCGATTTCCAACCGATGCATTCCTGAACCGCGTTTATTTTGCTAGCCAGTAGTAAACCGGAAAGACAGACAGGAGGTTAAGCGTGAGACCAGCAACTCCATCTCGTAAAAACAACATTACTGCTCCTGAGACTTCAAAGCCTAGAGTCCTATATTTCACTCAGAGCGCAAGGGGTAAAATAAACACATAAAAATGATGTTTGATTCAATAAGTTTTATTTTGTTCAATGAGTCAGCTACCTGTATAACTTAAACTTATTTCGTGTATTTTTTGACTAATTTTAGGTAGCTTTGCAATTATGGCAAATTAAAGGAATGTTGGATGCTTATAATGAAAAATTCATTTCTACTTCAGATAAACTGAACGAGGGATATCTTAATGAATTAACTAATGAAGTAATGGGTATTTAGTAAGTTTTGCTATTCAGTAGTTTTCAGTTAAATTTTCCAGCAGTATTTTAATCTAATGAGCGATGGTTGAAGGCGAGATGAAAACCAAATATGTCAGAAATTCAAATTGGGCTTTCTACTAGCTGATCTACGAGATAGGGGCGGTAAACAGGTCTGTATTTTACTGAGACCGTTACCAGTTATGCCCATGTGTTATTGGATATGTGATACATGTCAGTCTGTTTAGTATTTTCACACTAGTTGTCCAGGCGAGTTTTCTGCCGATTTTAGTCGTACTGAAGAAGAATAATAAGAAGAAGAGGAGCATATCGTCCACATACGCACAGAACCTATTCACAATATGTTTAGTATTAAAATAAACATACAAAAGATAAAATTACTGTTGAGTTCCAGAACACCAATAGCAAATGAATGTTGGCAAAATCTATCGGTTCACTTACATATGTGGGACCAAGTAAATAGGCCGTACCAGTAGGATATTGTCTAGACACATTAAAAACATCTCCCAATATATGTGTCTAGAGGAAAAATTAAACGAACCGATAGCCGAATTCCTGAGGACATTACTGTTACACTTTATCAATGGAAAAGTCTTTCAAAGTGATATACAAAGTAAGGTTATGTCATTCGAAGAGTTCCGGATACACCTTCTATCCATAGCTGAATCTGTGTCACACAGTGCTGCACTCATAGATGTCACCACCTCAACTATCCAGACTCGCGATTGACCTCCTGTAGGATTGTATTGGATACTTTGATTGGACACTAGTTGATAACCAATTTAATTTTTCTGGTCCTTTGTTTGATATTGACTGAACTGTGTCAGTCAAGCTTGCAATTCGGTCACCGTAGCAGGTGGCTAGCCACCACGATAGACTGTCAATTGTTGATATTAGATGGCTGGATCCCGGATAGCTCACTGGTAACATCTATGACAGCAGTACTGGGTAAGTCGGGTTCGAATCTCAGAAGAAATACGAGTTCCCTCAAGAATGCAGATACTGCTGGCTGACTGGTGAGTGCCAACTAGCACGAAACCGATGTCCAAGGCTTCCTGCCGATTACCTTCCACCATCTAATATCAACAATTAACAGTCCATAGTGAAGGCCGGCCACCTACTACAGTGGCCAGATTACAAGTTTTACTGTTATAATTCAGTGTGCACCAAACAAAGGACTAGACACATTACACTAGTTACTGACTAGTATCCAATCAAAGTACTCTTCAGTAGTTCACAGTCACAAACAACCCAATCAGGAATCAAATTCAGGACATTCAGCTTACGAAAGCAAACTCGCTGATCATTCAACCACTTGGGCCGGAATTCAGTAACACGTGCATTCTTACTAATCAATTCGTGATATATCCCTACCTGTAAACAATGCCTCCTATGAGCATCCACTTCACCTTGACATGGTGAACTCCACTGGCCATGACTTCTCAGTACAACTTCCAGAGATCCATGTAGTACATTCACATCAATGAGGCAAAGGATGATATTTAGATTATGAGATTTTGTAGGGATTAGTATTAATTTCAAGGGTAGATTTTACCCCAACTTGAATTTTTGTAGGCTTTGTTTTTTGATTGATTTTGTGTTTTGCTTGTTAATTGAGTAGTCGTATTTATTTATTTACATATTTTTTGTAGTTTATTGCAAATAAATGGTGATTTTGGGGATTTATTGAGTGCTTTATCTCTTCCAACGCTTCAATACGGTTTAAATGAACTTGGTCATCCATATACAATGTCAACATCATGTTCAGTATTATTTAAAATGGTTAAAAATAATGTGTATATGTCACATGTTACTTGGACATCATATAGTATGATGTTAAGAGTATTAAAACATTATAATTTCCCTTGGAAAATGGTCAATAGTACAAGTAATTAAAAACTGTTTATATTTTTTGGTCATTTTAAAGGCTACCTCATTTATTATTGTACATCCTCTTGCATCATTTATCAGACAAAGTTAATTATTTTCATAATATTTGAACTGTTGAAAAAGTCCCTAATAACTGTATTTTTTTACTGGAATACTCACTAGAATTGTCGATTATACTCACATCGAATGGATGAGGCATAATTACTTAAAGCATAAGTTACTAGCGGATGAGATATACAAAAATGGATGCTCACAGTGACAGTTATCATCGCTTGTCAAGTAGGTTGACACTCTTTGAACAAGAGAATGTCATTTCCTTTACTCATAACTTAAGTGATCCATGTGTATTTACAAATTTGAATCTCCTGGTTGACTAATGGACCAACACAGAACTTTGAACAAACTTGTATCATTTCAGGTTGCCTCACTTGTAGAAGCAAACATAGCAAGGAAACAGAATGACACTATGATACTAGATGGAGGATAATTAAACATGGATTAATGAAGATTTTCCTTATCTAAGAGACGATATATTTATAGCAGCGATCTCCAGTTAATGAAAACTGGAATCTTGACGACCTAAGCCAATCACATTTCACCTCCCAATGTGGTTCAGAATAATAGCTTGCGACTCTGTGGATTGACTTAATGTTTTGGTCTAACCACCTGTGACAATGTCATAAACAAATCTGAATTGTTTATGAAAGAAATTTTGGAAGAAAAAAGATACAATTTCTACCAGATTTAAAAACTTAAATTTAGAGAAAGTAGTAGAAACAAAACTATAAAGATGTCCTATGTATTATTTAAAATGAATCACGCGGAAAGTAAATATAATACAAGTTAAACAATCACCAACTCTATTGAATTCACTTCGTCGAAATAAATAACTGTATTAAATTATTCCATCAGATAAAACTTCAGATAATTGTATTTTTTCTTAACAGATGGATATTATCAGTGTATAATTTAACAAAACTGCACAAAATCACCACATGTAATTATACATGAAGGAGAAGAATATAGGACGAGAGGATATTAAATTCTAATAATGTTAACAGTAGTTCATCAATGTTTCTTAATGCTAAAAAAGCAACACCAATCAAAGGAAAATGATATCCCGTTCATTTGAAGCGGTAGAAGACGTAAGACTAGAATTTGGAATCTCTACACAGCGAAATTATGTACACTTTATCTTCAACACACCATCTGCACAGATGATCTTCCTTGTTGTGCTACTACTGTCCAGTCATCGCCTTCCTCGACGGGCAATGTTAGCTGATATAGGGTCAGGCTGGAAAAGAGCTAGCGGCTGTTAAACTAAAACTTGGCACCAGTCAATGAAGTCTACAACAGTTAGTCTAAGCCACGTGGGAAGGTGTAGACTTCCTGGTTGGGGTCCTCGGGACGGTAAAAATTGGTGACATGGCTCAAAGTGATTGTTCTGAATGGCTGGCGCAAATGCATCCACCCCTTGTGACTTATGATTTCCAGTGGAACTGTTTTGTTCTTCGTTATTACTATACCTTTGTCTCACACCTCTGTTTACTATCTCTAAAATGCATTTCTCCTACTTTCTTCTTTTGCTTTGTGTGCTACATGGAGTGTGGCGTCTTGAACTGCCGCACATATGTGCAAAGTTCTATGTCGAAAACCGACCGACTGTTCTTCATGTTGTATTTCTTTATGTTCCTTTCACGTCTCCCATGTATCTTCGCATCGCTGCATCATTTTCTTTCCCTGAAATCATCAAATCTATCTGCCTGCTATTTGATCTTTTTATGCCAATGATTATCTCCTTGTATACTACTGATAAATCTTATCAGTACCACACGCCTTACGATGAAGATGAGAACAAGTAATGAATGCATCTGCTCCAATGCAATGAACTTTCAAAACATGTTATTCCAAAATCTTTAGGCTGCTTTGTGAGCTTCAGTTAACCATTTCATCTTGTAGTGTTAATCTATCAGCCAACTACTACTTCAGACTCGAATATTAGAAGTACCCAGACACACTCTTATTAATTTCAAGAAAAAATATCCTAAAGGCTGAGAATAATTCCAGTCATTATTTAGTATTCTTAGTTGTTTTTTTTGGAATGTATGTGATAGATGGCTTGCCTTTTTCTTTGAAGTAGCACTTGCACTATCCAATGAAAATAATTTACTCGTAGTTTTCGTCTATTTATAAAAGCCAACCAGAGTTTGCAAGACTATACTTTATTAAATTTAAGATGACACTCAAATTATATTTGTCAATTATAGGTTGATTCTAACTCTTTGTCTTAAAAAGGAATTTACAGACTTACATGCCAGATACATTTATTTATGTAACTTTATTAATTAACATTGATAGGCAATGATAAGTGATTATAAAACTAAGCAAATATTTGAATCCTTTTATTAATACGTTTTAACAAAAAGGTTCTTCCTAATGGACTGTTAATTAAAAACATTTATATTCAAGTATTGGTTTGTAGGGATTTGATTGATTGGTTACAGGATTTCATCATGAACTGACATTGGTTAGAGAACCATTGGGAAACCTGGGAGTACTGGACAGCTGTTTCGTCCTAGTTGGAAACTCTTCACCAGCACGCATCCACCACCAGGGCTCGAACCTAGGAACTTCGGGCAACAAGCTGAGCTCGTAGACCATTAAGCCACAGGAAACCGATCCAGTGGCCAGACCATGAATTCTAACTTCCGCCAATTCACTACATAGCGTGACCACTAGCCAATGTCTTCATGGGTCCCAGTGGCTTAAGGGTCTACGAGCTCACCTTGTAGTTGGAGGGTCCTAGGTTCGAACCCTTGCTGTGAGTGCATACTGATGAAGAGTTCCAAACTAGGACGAAATAGTTGCCTGTTTTGTACTCCTGGGTGGTTTTCCAATGGTCCTCTAACCAATATGAGTTCATGATGGAATCCTGTTAATAAGAATATTCATGATGGAAATGTTTGTATTCTCTAAACTTCCCTTTCCACCTAGTCTTTGTTATCAAACATGAAATAGCATTATAAGCGCGAATATTATTAAAAAGTGAGAAAATAAAGTTAGCACTGGTGATATGATCAAACCTAACGACGAGACAATAATGAAGATTAAATATTTAAGCCAAAAGAACATCAAACAGATGACTTCCTTGCTCAAAGATAAAAATATTTTCTGTCACTACCGTGGCGAGTGCTACTGATAAGATTTATCAGTAGTATATATATGAAGAGATGTTCGTCGGCACAAAACATAATATAGTAGGGAGATATATTTGATGTCAGAGAAGACAAATGATTCAGTGTTGTGGAGATACATGGTAGACGTGAAAGGAACACAAAGAAATACAATATGATTGGTGGAAGTAGCACAACACGGAAGATCATCTGTGCAGATGGTCACTACAGATTGCATAATATGTGTAAATATACAGTAGAATATCGATCACTTAGATCATAAGTTTAATTTTCACGAAGATATATGCTTCATTCGAAACAGTTTAGAAGTCATTGGTTATAATCGATTTCAAGTGAGGTCACTACTCTTTTTTTATATACTGTTGATTTGAAGCTAAATATTATATAAACACGTGAAGTACCAAAGATTTTCTAATTTATTCGTCTACTTTTCCCACTACTTAGATTCACCGAAAATTCCTGGTTACGCTATCACATTTTCTTCATATCCAACGTTTACCAGCTCAGTGGATGATTTTTATGTGACAAGTGCAAAACTTGTGAGTCAATGTGTGGTAAACAACATCATCATCGATTACCATATTGTTTTTATTATTCTCACCTTTTGAAATCAATACTTTCTATGCAATCCCGTGAGATAAACTCGTCATTAACTGCACTACAAAGTAATTACACGGGATAATGAACCACAACCAATACACAATAAGTATTATGAAGTTCACTATTTGCATTTTGAAACCATTCATAGTGTTATTTATGAGTGGTAAAATAAAGCTATCGTCTTTCTTGTGGTAATTGTTTCAACAAGAAATCATTAGAAAGTTTATTTTGGCTTATTCAAAGCAATTTCTAAACTTAATATATGATTATATCCACGGTGTATCGTTTAGCAGTCATAGAATTAAGTTTAATGATATGTGTGACAAAAACATCGACCTAATTGAAGACTAAGTTAGAACATGATCAGTGTTTATTCCAGCCAACAATATTTTGAGCGTTTCTTATATATGATTTCCCGATATTTGGGAAAAGAAATTCTTTATAGATAAAAGTGAATATTGGCTTATTTTGCAATTAATAGTGTTCTCTGAGCTGGTTGGTTTAGTTGCGGAGCTTTCGTCGTCCTTCTGGAAAACATCTTCAGCGCAATATTTAGCATAAATTGAAATGATTTAAATTTCTTCATGATTGATATAATTGCGTCTCCTAGTAACCATCTTTACATATGTATTGACCATTTTCTATTGACTTGGATTTTAAACTTTCTGGTCACCTGATTTACTTCTTATTAGTTGGTATATTTCGTCTATATTAACGTGTTTGTTAATTGTATTTTCGTCTGAGTACCAGGCTTCTAGGAATTCCCTGGCACTTTTCGTGTTTCCTCTGTCTAAGATTTTGACATGATCCCAATCAAATTGATGACCAAAATTGTCTATATGCGTTGATACTAAAGAATACATATTGTGTCTTATCACGGCTGATTTGTGTTCTTGGATGTTTAAAGTCGATTCAAAACACCAAAAAGGAACCATCATGAAAGACCACAAGGAAATTCGTTCTACCATACATGAGGAATATCTATGAAATAACAGCTAGAATACTAAAACCATTTGAAATAAATACAGCACACAAACCAGTCAAGTCGCTTAATTCGATATTATGCAAACCAAAAGATCCAATAGAAAAAGGGGATAAAATTAATACCATTTACAAAATAAATTGTATGAACTGCAACAAGCATTACATCGGCCAAAGTGGGCGTCCCCTCCGAATTAGAATCCAAGAACACAAATCAGCCGTGATAAGACACGATATGTATTCTTTAGTATCAATGCATATAGACAATTTTGGTCATCAATTTGATTGGGATCATGTCAAAATCTTAGACAGAGGAAACACGAAAAGTGCCAGGGAATTCCTAGAAGCCTGGTACTCAGACGAAAATACAATTAACAAACACGTTAATATAGACGAAATATACCAACTAATAAGAAGTAAATCAGGTGACCAGAAAGTTTAAAATCCAAGTCAATAGAAAATGGTCAATACATATGTAAAGATGGTTACTAGGAGACGCAATTATATCAATCATGAAGAAATTTAAATCATTTCAATTTATGCTAAATATTGCGCTGAAGATGTTTTCCAGAAGGACGACGAAAGCTCCGCAACTAAACCAACCAGCTCAGAGAACACTATTAATTGCAAATCATCCACCTGAGCTACAAATCTTCTCTATTATTGGCTTATTTTATTCATTAAACTTCTTTAGTGGAGTGAAAGCAGGTCTATAAGCTGCTAATAAGTGGATGTGTAATTTCTGTAGACTGTGGATATAGGTCAAGTTGTCACTAACGATTTCATTTAGTGATTATTCTGTCTGATGGGATATTACAGTAGCTAGTCGGTGGCACATCGGTAAGGACGCTCGCCGACCAAGCATATGATCCGGAGTTCCATCTCCGTCCGATGCATATCTGATATCAATGGTCGGCCTGCTAAATTCAGGCTACCGATATCACATGTTGAAAATTCCATACTTGTATCAGAAATGCTGTGTGGAGTCAGGCTATAATAAAATTAAAAATTTTTTAAAAAATAGTCAAAATATCGCCGAAACACTTCTATCTTCAACGGATTAAAAATGCCCATTAAAATTTTCAAAAGAATGGATACTGAACAAAGAGTACTCTTTTCGATAACTTCATCATTAGGCTCTACAGTTATATATACACATTATAGTGAATGAATGAATTAGTGTTATGAACAACATTAATGTTTAAATAACATTGGTTCGACAATATTGATAGATTGCAGCTCAGTAGCATCAACAAAAAATAAGCTGAATGTCAGAAAAATTAAGAAAGATAATATTACAAATTCATGAATTTAAAGTCTCTACTGAAGGCCAGGGCAGTAGTAGGGGCTGGACTTGCTTCTTTTGAACACAGAGCACTGGTTGTTTGAGGCGAATTGCAATAGCCTCCGCTGTTTGGAGCATGTGGTGCTTCGATGATTTTGGCAATTTATTTGGCACCCGGTAGATTATAGAGAAGGATTCTTCCACGCTGACTTTGTGGCTGGTTTGCACCAGATGGTCCAATATCGAACTGTTAATGGTTTTAACTATACCTTTACTTAGCCATAGTGGGAGATGTTCTCGAGCACGAAAAATCAAGTTCCTAGAGCAACGGCAAATATTATATTTTATATTCCTTTGCGTTCCCACTGGAACATAAGGCTTCAAGCTTTAGCTTTGAAGTTTCAGTAGCACGGGTGATTATTTTTACAGCATGGAGTCGCTAGCCTCGTGCCTAACCTTCCCTCTTTATCACCATTGTAAATGGCTACGAGAGGTAAATGTGTGTACCGGCCGGGACTCAAACCCCGGACCACGTGCATGGTCGGCAAGCGCTCTACCACTGAACCACCGACTTCAGGCTGATCAGCTGGGAGTAAAAGGTGTTGTCTATGAAATATGATTTACAGTGGAACTTACTAGCTTGCATAAACTTGCTACTACTACTACTACTACTATTCACTTCAATTAAACTTATCATCCACAAAGAAGACTTACTGAAGATATTAGTATATGTGTTCGACAAAAACGTGAAAATCACTTGCCATCTCATCATAATACGTATTAGTAAGCAACTTACAGAAAACTTCACGAGATAAAATACTAAATCCAGGTAAATTTGTATTTCACAGTAGAAGATTATATATTCATTGAAGCCTCTTATGGGGCTAAATATTGAAAGGAATACACTAAGAAAACAAGAGTTTAAAAACATAACAGCCTGATATATTTTACGAACTTTGCAAACGTTTTTTTATTGACCTGATAAGATCAGGGTCATCGGTAAGTACCGGTGACGCGTCTCAAACTGGGGCGAAACGGCTGTCCAGGACTTCTTGGTTCTTACTGGTTCCATAAATTATGTTGGTTTTTGATGAAAAAAATAAGATTCCTACAAACTAACACTTAGAACTTAAGAAAGTGTTTTTCTGAAAGCTTTTGCTGCCATTTACAAATGAACGAGTATCATGCACCAGCTAATATGTTAACATAGAACTTCAGGACTTTTTGTTATTTCAGTATACTAACCATAGATCAGAAGAATGACATTGTGATGTGCGCTACTGACAAGACTTATTAGTAGCATATAAAGCGACGTTCATCGGCATAAAAATATCAAATAGCGGAGTGATAGACTTGACGTCAAAGAGAGCAAATAAACTAGTGCTGCGGCGAAACATGGGAAAAGTGTAAAGATAACAAATAAAAACACAATATGAAGGGCAGAAGTAGCATATCATGGAGAATCTGTGCAAATGACGACTTTCAAATAAGGTGTAGACGATCTCTCTATATACAGAGATATCAAATTTCAAATAAACATTTCGTCACCAAGTCTTATGTCATCCACCGATACAACATAACTGAAAAACTGAAACAACTAATTTAAAGTTGGTAAATTTCTTTTAAAATGGTACTTCAGAATAAATTAAGTAGAAGTAGGAGATTACAGATAGGAATATTATCCTCTCTTTTAGTGGTGTACAAATGTAACCATCCAACTATCTTGACTTGCTACCAGGGAAGAATCTCGTTGACTTAGAATATGCGGACGATATAGTCCTTCTAGGCGAGGACTCTGACAAAATGCAGAGTCTACTGAACACCCTGAGCAACAATCTCCGCATGTTTGGCATGCGATTCGCCCCTATAAAATGTAAGATGATGCTGCAGGATTGGACTTCACCGACTCCTAGATTAGAAATAGGAAGTGAAGTGGTAGAACACGTTGACCGCTTCACTTACTTGGGAAGTACCATCAGCCCCAACGGGTTGATCTCCGACGAAATTTCAGCACGAATACAGAGGGCTAGGTTCGCATTCGCCAGTTTTCGCCGTCTCTGGCGTAGACGCGATATCCGACTATCGACCAAAGGGCGTGTGTACTGCTCAACAGTCCGCTCCGTCCTCCTTTATGGCTGTGAGACCTGGCCATTGAGAGCAGAAGACATGAAAAGATTAGCTGTCTTCGATCATAGGTGTCTGCGTTCTATCTCCCGCGTGAAGTGGTATAATAAGGTGAGCAATATTGAGGTTAGGCGTCGAGTGCTAGATAAGGCGGGGAAATCAATCGACGAGACTGTGAAATTACTTCGACTGAGATGGTTAGGACATGTGCTACGTATGCTTAGTCATCGCCTTCCTCGACGGGCAATGTTAGCTGATATAGGGTCAGGCTGGAAAAGAGCTAGCGGCGGTTAAACCAAAACATGGCACCAGTCAATGAAATCCACAACAGTTAATCTAAGCCACGTAGGAAGATGTAGACTTCCTGGTTGGGGCCCTCGGGATGGTAAAAACCAATGGTTGGAAACAATTGGTGACATGGCTCAAAATCGTTCTCAGTGGCGCAGATGCATCCACTCCTTGTGACTTATGATTTCCAATTAAACTTTTGTTCTCCGTTATTACTATTCCTTTGTCTCACACCTCTGTTTACTGTCTATATTATGCATTTGTTCTACTTCCTTCTCTTGCTTTGCGTGCTACATAGATTGTGGCGACTTGAACTGCCGCACATATGTGCAAAGTTCTATGTCGAAAACCGACCGACCGACCGATCCAACTATCTATGTATTTTATCCATTTTATAATTCAAATTACAGGTTATTACAGAAACTACTAATACTGTGCATACCGATAAACTTTGGCCTATTGTTCGTGATGGTAGTAGAAATTCTGTTTTTACATTTATACGCTCTATGGTAGCAAGTCGTTTGGCAACAACTGCAGATGAATGGATTTCCTACTTTAAACGCAAAAATAGTGGAACGTAAGTTATTTGTTAACTTTTCTATGGTGTTTCAAATGTTGTTTAGTGAGGATTAAGAATTATTGAAAGAATGGGGACGACTAATAAAATAGATTCGACCTAAGACAAAAGGAACTGTTATATATGTAGCCGTAGGTAATATTCCAGAATTATTAGCCACAGCATTCATCACTGAACACTGGATGCTGACCCTCTCTGTTTAAGTCAACTTGTTTAGCTGAAGGCTTCCGGTCAAGTATCCATAGCATTTGGCACGCCATTGTGTTACGTTCGTTTATTCATACACGATCCCTAGCTGGTTAAGCAATCATCTCGCACTCCAATTTGGTCCCGAAATATAATTCGTGATTTGGATGATCAATTCTAGTGTTTTGCTTTGCCTTTGGTCTATACGGAACGAAAACTATAGAAGTTGTGGGTATTAGATCTTGCGTTAGTATACTTCGTGCTCCCCGCTAACGTCAACACCCTCAGCCTCTAACAATATATCTTCAAAAGAAAATTGCAAATGACTTCAATCATACTGGACGAACTTCTCAGAAATACAGACTCAAATAAACACAAAATCATCTGGTAGTATATCGTTTCCTTATGACTACCGATCAGTATTGCTTAGTGTGAGGCATTTGTACATACTGAAGTCAGGAGCATGTAATACAAAAGCCCTGATTATACTTTATTCAACTTGCAGTCAGTTCAATCGGTTAGCAATAAAAAATCATGAATTCATCCAAAACTCACCAGTAATTTCGAGTTATACATTGGAGATTTGACCAAATAGGACGTTTTGGTTGAAAAATAATACATTTCAATCAATGAACAACCCCCATACAGACATAAAAGAAAACAACACAAATAGTTCATTGAACGTGCGTCGGTGGCATAGCGGTTAGGACGCTCGCCAACCGTGCAGATGGTCCGGGGTTCGATCCCCGGCCGGCACACTCCTTTACCTCTCTAAGCCAGAAATAATGCTGGTGAAGAGGAAAGGTTGGGCATGAGGCATCCCGTAAAATAAACACTGCGACAGAAATTTCAAGCCACTAGCTTGAAGCCCTATGTTCCACTGGGGAACGTGTAGGAAAAAAAAGTTCATTGAACAGTCTCCCTTAGAAGAATTTATTCTCCTTACCTGCACAATCGCATTTATAAACAATCTTTTTCTCTCGAAAGACGATAGTAACAAAAGTGACGAGTTGTGACAATCTTACTTGTTAATGTTAGTCACTGCATAAGTTGAATAACTGTGCCAGTGCCAGGTAATATAGTAAATAATTCAATGAATGACTTGTAGTCACAATGTACATGGAAACGAGGGAAAATGTGGAATCCTGCAAAAGTTCTGAAGGAATACAAAGTTGTGTGAAGCTAGAAATGCAAATAAACGAAATAACATGAAGTTATATATGCCCAAAAAATTTGGGCATTGGGTATATGATAATTATTATAATGAAATAACATAAAGTTAGCGGAAATCAACAAGCTTCTCACCATGGTAGTAGAAGTGGTTGGATAGTCTCCTCTTGTATGCATAGCTTCAGTTTCTGTATCTGAATGACTAGAACTTCAGCAGTGTAAAGGAGATGAAAGCTTATTGCCCTCGACAGGTTATTCTTCACTTCGCAGATTATTTTGAAGTAGATGTTTGTGGAGATGGAGTGACCAAGGTTGACATGATGTTTCATTGTCACAATACTTATAGGGCCAATACTTCCCTCTGCATCCATTCGGGATAGTGTTCTTGTACCCTTTTAGACAGTATACACGTTGAACATCTATTATACCTGACTCCAGTACATCAGGTGAACTAGTATATACATATATATATATATATATATATATGTACATATGTATATACATATACAGAAATGGTCAGATGCGAGATTTTGTCCTTAGGGCTTCTGCAGACCAGTAGACAACTGAAGAGCACTGTTCTTAGCCTTGCTGTGAAGAAAGATGATGGACTTCTCCGTTTAAGGATTCTGGAGGTTAATTCTGTCTTGATATCGAGGTTCAGGTAGATATTTTTGATACAAGTAATGATTCCTCACTCTGAACTTTTGATTTTACAATGAATCTTGGTGGATATCCCTTTTGGATGAAGATTTCTTTTAGAAGATCTTTTACTGCTTCTAGGACATCAGGACTACAGATGCGCCGAATCTGAGTGACGAGAGATTTCATTGAGTTTCATTTTCGTTCAGCAGACACCTAACTATAGAAACACGTTAGTTGGCTGTACTAATTGAGTTTCCTATGGACTGACCTTCTTAAAGCTCCGAGCTCGCCATGTAACCAGAAGGTCCTGGGTTCGAACCCCGGTGGGTGCCTACTGATGAAAAGTCCCAAACTAGGACGAAACAGCTGTCCAGTACTCCCAGGTTTTCCGATGGTTCTCTAACCAATGTCAGCTCATGATGAAATCCGTTGGTTCTTCTTGTTAGTCCCACTTCGATAGTGAATTTTGCTGCCGGATGGCAGCTGTTAAGTACGTTTAGCAATTGATTGGGGTTGTAGCTATTGCGGCAAATGATGAAAGTGTCATCCATGTACCTTGAATACAGCTACAAATTTTCAGTGGTAGCCCTAATGAATCGTTCTCGAGGCTTACCATGAAGTAGTGTCACCTAGTAATGAACCCAAGGGAGATCCCATTCCAATACCATTCTTTTGTTTGTAGATGGTGTTACTGAAAGCGAATTGTGCATTAAGAGTACACCACAGTATCAGTTCTTTCAAATACGCTGTTGGAATTCCAATTTTCCACTGAATATCGTCTTTATGTTTACATACAAAACAGAGTTTGCTTAAATGGGATATTGGTGAAAAGTGACTCAGTGTCGAAGATAGCCTACTTTTGTCAGTAACACTCATGTAATGCACACAATCGATGAACTGGAAGTGTGTCACGAAGAGAGTACATGAAAACATGTTTTTTACAGGTTCAAGAATATCAGCCAACAATTTTGCTTTAACACAATGAGGAGAGCCTGATATATTTAGAATTGGACGGAGTGGTAAACCAACTTTGAATATCTTTGGTAAACCATGAAATCTTCGTATTATTGAACCTATTGATAGGATACCATCATAGATATCCCATTTAATTAGTTGATCCTGATTACAACTCATTAATTGAATTATCCACCTTATCACGTGGCACGAACACACTTATTCAACTCAACTTATGCATTGACTAACATTGACAAGTAAGATTGTCACAACTCATCAATTTTGTTTTACTATCGTCTTTCGAGAGGAAAAGATTGTATATAAATGCAACTGTACAGGTAAGGAGAATGAATTCTTCGAAGACAGCCTGTTCACTGATTATTATTATTATTGTTCCCTTGGGTTCCTAGTGGAACATAGGGCTTCAACTACACGTCTCCACTTGCTTCTGTCTTCTACTCGACTTTTCACCTGCATCCATGTCAATCCATGCTGTTTCAATTCCTCTTCGCACGATCTCCTCCATGTCACCCTTGGACGTCCCACTCGCCGCTTCCCTTTCAGGTTCCACTCGAGCATTGGCCTGACGCGCGATGTCACCCAGCGGCCTCCTCAGCGAGTGTCCAATCCATCTCCACTTTCTCCTGCATATTTTTTGAGCGATTGGTTCTTGTTTTGTTTGTTCCCATAGTTTCTTGTTGGTGATTCTTTCTGGCCATCTGATCTTGAGTATAGAGCGAAGACAGTTGTTGATAAAGGTCTGCAACCTGTTGGAAATATTCTTGGTGACCTGCCAAGTTTCTGATCCGTATAGAACAACTGACTTGACGTTTGTATTGAAAATCCGAAGAATTTTGTTGTTGATGCAAGCTGAGTGACGAAGATTTCTAGATTGGTTTCAGGTTGATGAATGTGTTTCTCACCTTCCCGATTCTCGATTTGACATCCTTGTCAGTTAAAACAGGTTAAAACTTAACCTGTTCACTGAACTATGTGTTTATTTTTCATTACAGAATTTACCATCATAGCATTGATAAATAGATGTAGATTATCCTACTAAATACATCTCGGAAATATCATACACTGAAACTATGTGATTTTATTCACACTATTTAAGAATTTCTAAACTGATATATGTATATATAATCCTCGATCTTTTATTTCAATGACTAATGTAGTACTTTAAAGCGGAGAGTTCTCGTGTATCACATGACTTCCTTTTCTGAACGTGAAGCGTACAATGATTCAAGATACGTTAAAATATTGTTGCATATTAAACAGTAATAATAATAAACCTAGAAGTTTGTATACATTTCAATTTTAGGTTACAATCTTAGCTATGTTAAATATAATTGTTTATTGAATGTGTTTTAAACCAGATATCTGTGAATTGTATGGTCCTTAATTGATCTTAATAACAATTAAGTTTTGTTTTTTTGTTTTTCGAATTCTAATTTAGTGCATCATTTAGTGACATGATGTTAGAGACAGATGACCGAATATCTGAGTGGATGTTAATATGAACTTGTTTGGTGTACACAGATTAGAACGAAACGGAAAAGCGCATATATATATATATATATATATATATATATATATAGAGAGAGAGAGAGAGAGAGAGAGAGAGCTGTAGACATCTTCACTTATACATACAGGTTACTGTTATTGTTAATCACACAAATTATAATATTATTTGTGTATAATTATGTAATTAGTGTAGTTTGATTGATTATTTTAAGCCCTTCACTATTGGTTACTGGCTTATACTTTCAAAAACTCAGTCTACACAAAAACAGAACCACATATCATCATTTTCTATGTATACAAACTACGAATCAAGGAATCATATTACTGCGTCAAAGGCCTGACTGATAAATGTTGTATAAACTTCCAATGTACATAACTCGATTCGACTGATATCAGTTTGTCTAATGCCAACTTGTGTATCATTAAATCACGATTCATTGAAGTATAACGCTGCAATTAGTGATAGATATTCACTGTGTAGTTTTGTTCAATTTTATAATATATAAATAAATAAACAAAGG